CTGAACAAGGCTTGTTCCAAAGACAGTTTCCCATTATCCAAGATTGACCAATTGGTGGATGCCACTTTAGGGCTTGGAAGGATGAGCTTCCTAGATGCCTACAGGGGGTACCATCAGATAGCTATGTACCCCCCAGATGAGGAAAATACTGCATTCATCACCCCGAAAGGGCTATACTACTATAGGGTAATGCCTTTTGGATTGAAAAATGCATGAGCAACTTACCAGAGATTGGTAACCAAGATGTTCAGATATCTAATTGGCAGAATAGTAGAGGTATACATAGATGACATGGTCGTGAAGACCAAGGAGCCTAAGGATCATCTAGAAGACTTAAAGGCAGTCTTTGACATCCTTAAAACATATCGGCTCCGACTTAATGCATCGAAGTGTGCATTTGGAGTTGGGTCTAGTAGTTCTTAGGATATTTGGTAACTAGAAAGGGCATTGAGGCAAGCCCAGATCGGATCAAGGCTATTTTAGAACTGAAGAGCCCAACATTGGCAAAACAAGTGCAGATGTTGACTGGAAGGGCTGCAGCCCTGAACAGATTCATAAGCAAAAGTTCTGATAAGTGTAAGCCTTTCTTCAGCTGAGTAAAGAAAGCCTTAGACTTCTTATGGACCGAAGAATGCGAAGCCGCCTTGGCCGACTTAAAGAAGTGTTTGACCACAGCTCTAGTTCTCTCAAATCCAGTACCTGGAGAGGAGCTGTTCTTATACTTGGCAGTTTCAGAGCACGCAGTAAGTGCAGTAGTAGTCAGAGAAGAAAAAGAAGACCAAGGGGCAGCTTACTACATGACTAAAACCCTAGCAGACGCAGAGACTAGATACTTACCCTTGGAGAAGTTAACACTGGCTTTAGTAATGGCTTCCAAGAAGCTGAATCATTACTTTCAAGCCCACAAAATCGTGGTGTTAACTGAACATCCCTTACGGTCCCTACTGCAACAAGGAGATTTGACAGGTAGAATAGCTAGATGGGCAGTGGCCTTGGGCCAATATGACTTGGAATTCAAACCCATGACAGCAATCAAAGGCCAAGTCTTAGCGGACTTCGTGGCCGAGTTCACACCAGACGCCGTCATACATCGGGCTCCAAGAAAAAACTCAACGGGAGATAATAGAACAAAAGAACAAAGAGAAACTCAGGCCCTGCAGTATTTACATCGGCGACTCTTTCCAGTTGTTTGTTGATGGGAGTTCAAACCGACAGGGAGCGAGGGCAAGAGTAGTACTAGTATCACCAGATGGGCAGATACTGGAACAATCCATTCGTTTGGGGTTTAAGGCTTCAAACAATGAAGCAGAATATGAAGCACTAATCACAGGGTTAAAGCTGGCAGCAGCCATGGAAGCCGACGAGGTAATAGTCTTCTGTGACTCCCAACTTATAGTCAACCAGGCAACAAGCGAATATGCAGCCCGAGATGAAAGGATGGCGACCTATGCAAAAGAAGTAGGCAGGCTAATAGCCTTATTTCAAAATTGCCGAATACAGCAGGTAAGCCGAGATGACAACAACCATGTCGATGCTCTGCCCAACCTAGCTAGTGCAATGAAGCCTGAAGAGGCAAGAATGATAATGGTTGACTACTTATCAGGTCCAAGCATAGAACCACTGAACACAGAGCGTGAAGCAATGTGTGTAGAGATGGGACCAAGTCGGATGGATGCAATAATAGTATTCCTTAGAGATGTGAAGCTGCCAGATGACCGAAAAGAAGCGCACAAGATCATACTAAAGTCGGCAAGATTCAGTTTGACCGCAGAAGGACATCTCTACAGAAGATCTTTTACTGGACCCCTTCTGAGGTGTGTGCATCCTACACAGGTTGAAGACTTTCTGTACGAGATACATGAAGGAGTATGTGAAAGCCACACTAGGGGCAGGTCCCTTGCTCATAGGGCCATTACTCAGGGGTACTGGTGGCCCTACATGCAGAAAGATGTCGAAGCCTATGTCAAGAAGTGTGAGAAGTGCTAAAGGTTTGCACCTTTAATACATCAACCAGCAGCAGACTTGAACCCGGTGTCCAGCCCTTGGCCATTTGCCCAATGGGGCATGGATCTTGTTGGAAAACTGCCTCAAGCAACTGGACAAAGGAATTACCTGCTGGTAGCAACAGATTACTTCACCAAGTGGGTAGAAGTTGAACCCCTTGCCAGGATTCGGGACGTTGATGTGAAGAACTTCATAGGAAAGAACATCATCACTAGGTTTGGAATCCCAAGAGCAATAATAGCTAACAATGGCACACAGTTTGATAGTAAGCTAATCAAGAACTTCTGTGCAAAGTTCAAAATCAATAATTATTTTTCCACCCCAAGTTTTCCTCAAAGTAATTGACAAGTGGAACCATCCAACAAAGTTATCTTGAATGGGATTAAGAAGAGGATGTAAGCAGCAAAGGAAAAATGGGTGGATGAATTGCCCAGTGTACTCTGGGCATATCGAACTACGCCGAGAAGATCAATGGGGGAATCCCCATTTGCTGTGGCTTATGGCACAAAAGCAGTCATTCCTCTGGACATCGGCATCCCAGGGATCAAAACCCAGGGAGTGGAGAATGGAACTAATAATATATTTATAGCCCAAGATCTGGATCTGCTAGAAGAAAGAAATGAGAAAACAGCACTTCAGCTGGGGGCATACCAGCGGTAGCTTGCCAGGGTTTATAATAAGAAGGTGAACCCACGAGAGTTCCAAGTTGGTGACCTCATCCTGAGAAAGGTAGTCGGCAACAAGAACGATTCCAGAGAGGGCAAGCTTGGCCCGAATTGGGAGGGACCCTGTAGAATCATCTCGGTCTTGGGTAATGGGGCATATCGACTTAAGGACTGTGAAGGCAAAGAATTGCCAAAACCCTGGAATACTTGCAATTTGAAGTTTTTCTATCACTATATTTTCTTGTTTTCTAAGTTTTCTTTTTGTCTTGTTATTAGCAGAAGTAATAAAGTTTTAGTTTAACCTTTAAACTTGTGTAATGTGATTGACCAGATACTTGACGATGTTTCTAAGCGAAACATGACAAATAACTTAGACTTATTATATGGCAGAGTAGACCTTTTACTTGCATATAATAGAATTGAACTAAGTTGGCAATGTTTCTAAGCGAAACATGACGAATAACTTAGACTTATTATATAGTAGAGTAGAACTTTTACTTACATATAATAGAGTTGAACTAAGTTGGCGATGTTTCTAAGCAAAACATGACGAATAACTTAGACTTATTAAATGGCAGATTAGAATTATAATTGCATATGATAAAGTTGAACTAAGTTGGGATAACCTGGACTTATCATATTAGCAGAATCAGACTCAGATTGGAACTAAGTACATGTCAGTCAGATTAACAAAGAGACCGAGGTTAGTTACCTCGGCCAGTCTTTGTTTAAATCTGACCTCTGCAACAAGGTCAAAGCCCCAGGCTTAATGAGAACCCAAGTGGAACTTAGGTTCACATTAGGGGGCAGAGGGCTAGAAAATGATGCTTGGAAGATTGGTTTAACACTTGTTAAAATTTTAAGAAAAATTTATAAGTTGAAGTTAAGCCGAGGTTATGTTAAAGGAAGATTGGTTTAACACTTGTTAAAATTTTAAGAAAAATTTAAAAGTTAAAGTTAAGCCAAGGTTATATTCAAGGAAATTTTTAGAAAAATTTACAAGTTGAAGTTAAGCCGAGGTTATGTTAAAGAAAGATTGGTTTAACACTTGTTGAAATTTTAAGAAAAATTTTGCAAGTTAAAGTTAAAGTTAAACCAAGGTTATGTTAAAGGAAGATTGGTTTAACACTTGTTGGCCAAAGCCGAGATGAAACGTTAGTGGGTGTAACCGAGGTGTTATATCCCGAGAAGATTGCACAGTTAAGGTGTATGTTGATACTTGCATTCAGATAAGAAAGTTCAAATACAAAAAGGCACTTCGGCCTGACATTAAAAAGTAATTGTTCAGATTGCAAAGGTGGCATATTCGCCAAATTAAAGCTTACACTGTTTTTAAAAAAAAAAGAAAAAAGTACAAGGTACAGAAAAAAGGAGAAAAACATCAAACTAAGACTCTTCGACGTCTCTGGCTGGTTGGGGCTGGAGTTCAGATGACAGCTGAGTAGACATCTCGGCGGCCCTCTCAGCCGCGAGCTCGGCATCGATTTCTTAAAGAGTTTGGTCGAGGCTCTTGTCGGCAATAAGCGCGTCCGATGTTGCCTTCTCAGGAGTAGCATCTTTGGAGACCTCACCCTCCTCATCATGAGACAAGTCCATGACTTGCTCATTCAGAGTGGGGGACTGGGCCCCAACAGCTTCCTTCTTCTTCCTCACCAAAGCTTCCTCCTCAGACTCAAAATCGTCTTCGGATTGGCTTGGAGTATAGAGGAATGGCAGGGGAAGTCGTCAGCATTCTTGAGGGGGGAGTCCTCGGGGACATCAAGCTTTTTCAGGGCAGCCATCCAACCAAGGGTGAAACCCTTGTTGCATGCCTGCTTCACTTGCTTTTTGTAGTCCTCCTTGTCCTCGGCCGCCCCCTCAGCATACGCCTTCTCATCAGTGGCCTTGATCTCGGCCTCCTTTGTGGCCAGGGCATGTTGAAGCTCCTTTTGGGCCTCAACCATCTTGGCCTCAGGCTCTTTCTTTTCGACCGTAAGGACCTTGGCAATGGGCTCTGTAGCGTCGGCCTTTTCCTCGACCTCGTCTTGAGCTTTCTTCGTCGTGTCGGCCTGATCTGACAAGGTCTTTATTCTTGCCTCGCCCTTTTTGATGGTCTTCTGTAAACCAGCAACCTCCCTGATTTTTTCGACCAAGTCCTTCCTCATTTCAAAAGCTTGCATTGAGAAGGAGTGGGCGTGCTGGATCGCCTGAAAGAAAATGGACAGAACAAAAGTTAGTAAAAATTCTCTAAGTATGGAAAAATAGAGAAAGAAAAATACAAAGTATGAGGAACTTACTTGAACGGAATACTGCAGCATCAAAGTGAAGTTTTCATACTAGCTCATCTCGGCATTACGATTGAGAGGCAACGCCGACCTCAAGATCAATCGCACTATCACCAACTCTGACCGGCTTGTCCTCTATAGTGATGGGAGGGGCCCAGGGGGCATCTGATTTCATAGACCCCGAGGTTGTGGCCGACTCTGACCTCGGTCTCTTTGATCGAGTTGATTGGGATGGTTCGGCCTCGGCGGGCCTCTTCTCGGCGGCGGAGGGGGTTTTCTCACTCTCAGCCAATTTTGAAATAGGCAAGGCGTCCTCAGTGTCAATTTGAGTCACCGTTGCCTTGGGCTGAGCCTTCTTCAATCTTTTAGGCTTTGGCTTTGGTTGAGGCTGGGATTGTGCTGGTTGAGCGTTGACGGTGTCGGGGATGTCGACTAAAAGGTCTTCTGCGACTGCTTTCTTGCGACCCATCTCGGCGGCAATTGCAGTTCGGCATCGGCGTCGGCATCGACGTTGAGATGGTGGGATTAGCTGTGGAGCCGAGGTAGATGGCCACTCTGCCGGATTAGAGGTTGACCCCTGATCTGGCTGAGATGATGAAGTTGTTGGAGGTGTGGTGGCGGACGGAGGAGACTTGCTCCTTTTCTTCTTCGGGACGTCGGGAAGCATCGCCTTGTGAGTCGGAACGAATTTGAGCAGCAAAGGAGCTCTTCGTCTCTGAACTGGTAGGTTCAATAGCTATCTGAGGTCCTTACTGGGAAAGAAAGACTTGCGAAAGTCCTTTGGTGGCTGTGGAAGAGCTACACGAAAGAACACAGACGTTAGATCATACAGAAAGAATAAAGTTTTAACGACTTGAAAAATAAGTCTGTGTAATACTTGGTTCTTATGGTTACCCTTTACGAATACTATTTGGCTAAGAGGGCAGAGGTGAAGGTCTTCATCTGGAGCGAACTCCCAGTTGTCCAAGACAATGAAGTAATCGTCCTCAGCTTCCTTGTTAGAGTCTGGGAGGTCGGCAACAAGTTTATATTCTGTGGACCTCGGTTTAAGATAGTAGAAGTTGCCTTTTTTCTAATTTAAGGCCACACATGGTATAGCAATATTGGATGTCAGCAAGGGTAATCCTAGCTTTCTCTTTTTTGGCTAAGGCAATTATACCATTGATAACTCGGTAAGAGTTAATGGCAAGTTATATTGGGTTCAATTTCTAGTAATGGAGGACTTATTGGAAAAGGATATCTAGTGGAAACCTAAGTCCACATTCTGTAAAGGCGACGATAGGAAAAAGCATGAGGTTTCCATCAGGCATGATAGAGTCGTCCTCCCCGGCCAACCTCAGGTGAACGTCGGCCAGAATGTCAAACTCCTACCCGAAGTACTCTATCTTAGTTGGGGTGTCCACCCTGTGCGTCCACATACCCTTGATGTCGGCATAGGGAGAGGGTGTATGATTTCGAAAAGAAGTGTTCCATGAAGGTTTAGATGACCTCGGCAAAACCTAAACGAATGCTGGGGTGAAGATTTTTTGGGATCTAAAGTGAAGTTTGTTTCAGTTTTTCCTAAAGTTTCTGCGTTCTGCGTCAAATCTCAAACCTAAGTCTATGTAACCACAGGATTAAAGGCAAGGATCTAGAAAAAAACACAGCAAACCGAAACAGGAATGTGATTCAGAATCAACAACAGTGATGAATCATCAAGAACATAGTGATAAAGCTTGTGCAAGTGTGTAAGGCCAAGAACAGTGGTAAAGATCAACTAATATGCAAGAAGTATATTCAAGAATGGATTAGGCAAAAACAGAATCACTAAACAAACATGCACAATACATGGTGGAAATTGAGATACAAATTAAACGATCAAAGACACAAGCAAGTTCGCAAGGGCAGCAAGTAAAGCAGTAGAGTTCCTTGAAGACAAAACAAGAAATTAAAACAAAGAGAAACAGTAACGCACCGAAGAAAATGAAGTCGATGTAGAGTACGCCGGAATCTGATGACGGCAACGACCGAAAAAGATCAACAAAGGCTTCGCTGGAAGGGGAGAGTGGAAGTAATTGCAGAACCCGAAGAGCTTGAGAACAATGGTGGATTTGGGAAAGCGGAGAAAGAGAGTTAGCACAAAGTTAAGGATGCAAAAGTGAAAAGATAGAGAGAGAGGGTTGATTTTTATCAAATGCGGAGAAATGGCGGCAAAACACCATCAATGTGCTTAGGACGACGTGCTTGTCAGATGACACACGCAAAAACGATGCGACTTGATGGGGCGTGTCGGGTACGATCCAGTAAAGGAAAGACGCGTGGTAGAAACGGTTGAAATACTGTGCGTGACAGCTCATACGCGCGATAAAACTCTTGGAGTTCTTGGTTTAAAGAAGCAAAAACCTCGGTTAAGGAGGCGATCTCGGCTTAATGAACTTGAACGAACTTGGTTGTTGGTTCCAAAGCATTGATGAAAGCAGACTATAGGTCTTGGTCATATTGAGCCGACGAGTTCTGACTTCAACAATGGATGATAAAGCGAGCTTAGCCGACGTGCTAGATGGAAAAAATGATATAGGTGCCATCACCTCAGGATGCCGAGGTAATAGAACCTAGGGGGCAATTGTGGGGACATAATTTTTGAATGACAACACGTGGCCAAGGTGTCACCGAAGTGCCAGCCGAGGTGCCATGTGTCCTGGTCATCACGCCGAGATGATCTCGGCTAGGCCGAGGTTATCTGCGAAGATACCGGAATCTGGGATAAACAGATAAGGGACAAGAGTCCTAGAATGGGAGAGGACTTCAGTTTGGATAAAGATAAGACTCTTAGAGAGTTTATCCCAATCCCACTGGGAGTCCAAGATTAGTAGTAATCCTAAGTCCATTGAAGCTAGGCTTCTATTGGGATTAGGTAAGTGTGGGCTATAAAAGAGAGGCACCCCCATGGGTCTAAAGTATGCTTTTATGCTCTGAATAGTGAGTTGAGCACTTTGGCTATCTTTGAGAGATAACTAACTTGATTGTCGGAGTGCCCCCGGATGGACGAACCACCGCTGGAATCTCATCTTTCTGTTGCAGGTCATTCAGGCGCCATCTATTCTGCCAGTGCTCTCCAGTCGAATGCTTGTTTGGCAGTGTGGTCAGAAATCGACACACACAATATATATATATATATATATATAAATGAGCAGGGTTTCCTTTAGTTTAAAATCTAAATGGGAGGGTGTTTTTTGAGCACGTGAGGTCTATTAAGAGTTTCATTTTATAAGGGATTTTGTGTATATTTTTTTCGAAAAGAAAAAAAATTAGGTCGATATTATAATCATATCCTATTTAATTTATAACATTTGTCTCTAAAAAAAATAGATAGTAAGTGTATTTCTAAAAATAAACCATCTTTTTTTTTTATAAACACGATAAATTAAACATGTTCTAATTATCAGATCGATCTAATTTTTTTATATATGAATAATATACCCATAAAAAACTTTACAAAATAAAACCCATTATGAGCTCTACAAACCAAAGAACCTCCTCCAGTTCTGAGAGGTAGCCCAGACCTAATAAGATTATGAAAAATGCTTGGTGACCCGAATTTGGGTGACCTGAAGGTTCAAATGTGTCAAAATAATGTCATTTTACACTTAAAACGACGTCGTTTTGAGATATTTGAGTCATTTGAGTTATGAAAATTCGAACCACCTAACATTATTATAAGATTAAATTTAAAAGTTGTCCGTTTAGTTGGCCCTAAGCAAGCATATCTCACTTGCCCAGTGCTTCAGCCGCCCCTGCTGTCTCCAAGACACAACTAGCATATTCGTAAATCGTGATTATGCTTCACTAGATGAAGTTTCAGTAAGCAAAATTGAGAAATAATATTAATTAGGGTAAATTATATTGAAACCCTTGAGATTTTTATTTAATATAGATTTTCTCCTCATATTTAAAAAATTACATTTATCTTTCTGTCAAATTAAAATGGCATATTTGTTCCTTAATCTTCATGCATATAAAATAATAAAATAATTTAGATATTTTGTTCATATTAGTTTAAAAAAAAATAACAATCATTTTCTTTGATTTAGCTCACACACACAAACAAAATGATTTTTTTTATTTTTCGTATTATTTTATTTTTACTGAATTTTTAAAAATATTTTAAGTAATTTTTTTTATTTTATTTTTTAGATACACCTAATCTAGATATACTTAAGAAATATAATATTTTGTAATTTTTTTTTAAATTCACCAAATACAAAAAATATATATATAAATCCAATACATTTTCTTATTTTGTTGTAATTAATGATTTTTTTTTTGTACAAATTTTATATTTTTTAAATATATCTAGATTAAATTGATCTAATCTAGTTATATTATGTGTATAGGTGACCATGTGCAGGACCAGACCCAAAGTTGAGGATCTGGTATCTCTGTTTTGTTAGCCAGCCGTTGTGCCTCCGAGGAGGTTCCCTTTTGTGCACAAGTCAAGTCTAAACAGCATAAGTTACGACCTAGTGTTAATAAGTATTACGATTAAGTCTTTTGATTTATATGTTTATTGGGGTATTTCCCTTTTGGGCTACAACTGCATTAAATGTGACGAAAATTATTACATTATGATGTTGTGTATATGCATATATATTATATAAGGTTTTAAATTTTGTGCCATGTATGTCTGCACGGCTCTATGGACTATGTATTGTTGGTATATTTGCTTTCGCAGTCCCTAATTATACGTTATTCCGTTAAGAGACCTTTAGTAATCTAGGGATTACTGGCTGGTTATGACGCTAAACCTATAGGGGCGGGTTTAGGTCATGACAGAGTGGTATTAGAGCACGTGTTTAACTGCACACACGAGTCCATAAGAGCTATAGGATGTCCTAGAAAGAACTAGGGGCATTTCAACAATATGTGTGACTGCGTGATAATTGTTATACATGTGAAAACTGAATTTGAATCCGAATAAATAAAAATTAAAAGAAATGAACAAGATTATTCCTATGTTTATTATTACCTTGTCTCTCTTTAGCGAAATGAAGAATGCAAGGGGAAATAATATAAGTGAATCTTCCGAGGCCCGAATGAACTGAATGGAACAGATGCTTGCCGCTTTAAAGCCATGACGTAGCAATTGAGACAATAACCTTTACCTCCTCCGCCTCTACCAATACTAGCTGAACCAGACAATAGTGATATCATCAATTTGACTCAGAAATTTATGAAAATGAAAACATGTGAAAACTGAATTTGAATCTGAATAAATAAAAATTAAAAGAAATGAACAAGATTATTCCTATGTTTATTGTTACCTTGTCTCTCTTTAGCGAAATGGAGAATGCAAGGGGAAATAATATAAGTGAATCTTCCGAGGCCCGAATGAACTGAATGGAACAGATGCTTGCCGCCTTAAAGCCATGACGTAGCAATTGAGACAATAACCTTTACCTCCTCCGCCTCTACCAATACTAGCTAAACCAGACAATAGTGATATGATCAATTTGACTCAGAAATTTATGAAAATGAAACCACCAACCTTCTTGGGTGGCATTGAACCATTGAAGGCAGAAACTTGGTTACTAGAAATTGAAAAGTTATTTGAAGTATTCCCTTGCTCCGCAACTCAGAAAGTACTCCTGGCCACCTACACTCTAAACGATAAAGCTCGAAGATGGTAGC